ATCCAGATGTACTTGAAGGGTATAGCGACGCTAGTTGGATATCTGACATAAAGGACTCTAAATCCACAAGTGGATATGTTTTCACTTTGGGAGGTGCAGCCGTGTCGTGGAAATCCTCGAAACAAACGTTAATAGCTAGATCCACGATGGAATCTGAGCTAATAGCCTTGGATAAGTGCACTGAAGAGGCTGAATGGCTACACCATTTTCTCGAGGATATTCCAAGTTGGGAGAAGCCTGTCCCTCCAATATGCATACATTGCGATTGTCAAGCGGCAATTGGAAGGGCACAGAGCAATCTCTACAATGGTAAGTCTAGACACGTTCGTCGTAGACATAACACCATTAAACAACTCCTCACAACGGGTGTTATCACTGTTGACTACGTGAAGTCAAAGAATAACATAGCGGATCCGCTAACCAAGGCATTGGATAGAGAATTGTTGGAGAAGTTGTCACGAGGGATGGGACTAAAGCCCGTGAATTGAAAAGTTCTATAGTGGATACCCAACCTAGTTGGTCCTAGGTTCAAAAGGAACAACTAAATTATAGAGCGAAGGATGGTCACTGTGGGGGTCCCGGACTCCTACCCACTCCTCGTTAAAACAGTGACTCCCGCACGAGGTTAGCAAAAACGTTTGCTTTAATGATTCTAAAATGTTGATCTACTCGATAACATTGGAAGAGTATGCGGGATACTCGTGAAAAAATCACCTATGTGAGAGAGAAGAGGACCGCTTCAAAGGAGAACTGTAAAGGCTCAGTTCTTTAGAAACTCTTGCAGAACCAGGACGGTGATCCATGGCCAAAACGGGCACACCCATGAGAATGGAACAAGGTTGGAAGGTTCTTGTGTAAAAATAAGTCAATGTTTACACGACGGCAATATAGTTCAAGGACATCGAGTCTACTAGACAACCAGTAAATAAACGTGTCTTTACAACGGAAGGTTCAAAGGAAAAAACCTACCTCTCCGTATGTAAGGATCATCCGATGAACACAACGTGTCCTCCTATCTTCGTGTCTTTTTAAGTCTTGAAAATCAATTTTCATTCATGTGGGGGATTGTTGGAAAAATGTGTTAAAAATTGCATTAAATGGTCATTTTGGGGCAATTATTTGAGTGGGGTCCACTTCCGATTTGGTTCGGGTTAAAGTGGTTTCGGATTGTCCTTGTTAAGGGCTACAATTCGATATATGGTACGCTCAAAACGGATAACGGGTGAATGAGAAATTGATTCTCGAAGTTCGCTCGTTGAAATGGAAAAACTGGGAAAATGGTGAGTTTCTAGTGTGTTTTATCCCACACCGAAAAACTCAAGGGATTTTCACCCCCTTATAAATGGAAGCCTCTTTTAAGGAGTTAAGATTCCTAAAGGGAAAGGCTCTCTCTTACGCGCAGGGGGGGTGCCGATCAAATCCCGAAACGGAGAAGAAAAACCGCGATTCGTGTGCGCGGGCGACCTGCGGACACGAATGCCGTCCAAAAATCTATCTCTCAAGAGGTGTTCTGTTGGCTACGGACAGAACCCTTCGAAGGGGTGTTCTGTTGGCTACGGACAGAACCCCTCGAAGGAGTGTTCTGTTGGCTACGGACAGAACCCCTCGAAGGGTGTTCTGTTGGCTTCGGACAGAACCCCTCGAAGGGTGTTCTGTTGGCTTCGGACAGAACCCCTCGAAGGGGTGTTCTGTTGGGGTCTTCTGTCGCGCAATTCTTCCGTTACAAATTTAATGCCCAACGTTCTTCTCTTTTAATGCTGCGTTAAATGGACAGTTTATGGACGATTCAATGCCCAACGGATTGGTCATTGATGTCCAACGTTCAGGTCCATTAACACCCCATTTAACACACAACAAATCCTCCTATAAATAGCTGGCAGATGCATTGCAACAAACACACGGTTTGACAACGCACAATACTTTCCTCACGTTTTCTTGAGCTAAAAACTCTTCCAGCTACTCCCAAATTTTCCTAGTGTTCTGCTATTGTTCCAGTTCGCCGGGACTTTCGTTTGTGTGCTCAAACGATCGTTCGTTAGCCACCGTATCCTGGGAAACGGTCGTTGCAACGCTCCTAGCACCGTGGGAGGCGACAAATACGTTTTAAGGACATCGTGCGTAGCACGAGCTCTGGCTAAAATCTGCTCCATCTTATTTTCTGTTTTCTTTTAGCTATTTTGTTTATTAATTAATTTTATTTAATTAATATTTTTTCGTTTTTTCCGAAACACACCCAACATTAATGTCACAAGTTAACGTGATCGTCATCATAAAGCTCGTGTGGTTGTGGTCGGGGGCGTCTACGTTGGTTACGAGGCTAAAGAATCACTCTATCACGTCGTAGTGCTTGATAAGACCCTGCCGTGGATGTAGATGTCGTGCAATACTGAGAGGCGGATATATATCAGTAATCTAGTCGACCTAATACATCAGCACATACTGCAATGCTCGGGCATACCTCATGATATCCATGTACATCTACCGCCTCATCAAGCACAAAAGTCATTATGTTGTGGATGGTACACAAAGCTTGTGCGTGTATTACAAGCATGGTTATTAGTGATAAACACATGAAAAATTAAATAAAGTGACGTTAATGAATATATTGTGTACCGTCATATGAAGAGCGACTAATTTAGACTGGTAATGATCAATGGGTGGATGAAAACTGGGAGAGACGAACACCCCTGTGATGGTGTAATACTATCTCGTGTAATATGCTGATATTGAAGGGACTATTGATGGGGTCCCATTCACTATATGTGTCGTTCTCTCATCCCACATGGTGATATACTGAATGTGGTGCATCCCCCGATCTTCGCCGTGCTTCCCGCGTCTGTCAATCTTGTGCAAGCCCGTAAAAGCATCACAGGGTGCAGGAATAACCTGGAGAAACCCAAACTATCGTAGTACACGATCGGGGAAGTGATGCTTCACCACATGAAAACATATCAATGCCACACATGTTCGCCATGTCTGAGTGTGCTCTCAACCATCACGAGGCAACGCGCTCTAGAATCTCATGAGTGTATGACATCCACATCATCTATAATACAAAATATTGTGATATCGTAGTTTATAAAAACATAAAACAAAATACTTATACTTAATGACACACATGGTATACACGATCCTCACACATGCCATCTAATGCATCCCGATAGTACTCTAATCCAGCAACGGGTGATGTGCGAGTGACGTCAGCAAAAAGCCATCCGAGACACAATAATATACAATAAAAGAAAATGGATTCTAGTACGTCATACATAAAATAAAATAAAAATACATAAACAAAATTCATACATGTACCTACCAAATGTAAAGCCTATGTCATGCATCAGACTCCTCTATTTCATCCACTACCAACCTCATTAAGTGCCTTTAAAATGTCAGCATGTCGATCTGAAATAACACAGAATTCTCTATGTGAGATAAAATGACGTATGCACCGCATAAAGCACATCCAAATATGTACATTCTCTATTTCACAAATAGCAAACGCCAATGAGAAAAGTTGATTATTAGCATCACTACCCATTGCCACCAACTACGTACCTTTATATTTTCCATATAAGTGTCTTCCATTGATGGTCAGTAAGGGACGACAATGTTTAAAGTCCTTAATGGATGACTTAAATGCCCAAAAAACTCTCTAAATATTTCTCTGATAGCCTTTTGCTTGGCCAACCAACTTCACTTGTACGAAGATACATACACATACTTTTCCTTCATAAGCTCACTAATAGTATGAACTTTTAGTGATGGATCAATACGAAAAAGATCAACAATTTCTCAGGCTATAAGCTGAATTGTGATACCAACATGGTCATTGTTATCGACGTTACCCAGATAAATAGGTATATGAGGACCTGCATAACGAACAATTGTGAACACATCTAGCCCCACATGTTTCTTCGTAGCCACTAGCCAGTATCCGTCAAGTGCAACCACATTCTTTTTTCCTCTTACACTTGCCACCCATTTGTGTTTGTCATACTCTACAACTTAGAAAAATTGGTTCCTCGTTACAGCGTACACTTTAACCATGTTAATCAGTTGTTTTTTTATCATCAAACTGTTGCCCAACCTCGCATTCACCATCAGCAGAGAAACGACTACAATTGTACACTAGCCCTCCATGATTCATCAAATCCCATAGGGAGCTCATAAATTTTAGTGTAGTAGCTGGATGGAGCATTGCCACTTCACATTTTCATCAACATCATCATCGATGCATTGTGAATCTAGACATGTTGCATCATTGCTAACATACCTTCCATTCTCATGTATACCATATTCATAACAACTAGAATAATTGTGGACGAGCAAGATAATCACGGGTTATCGAGTTGTATGGGCAACACAATCACTTCAACGTATATCTCCATGGTAGACATAGCAAGATTCGTGATTAAAGTCCACATTCCTGTTACGGCTTCATCATCAGCAAGAGGCATCAACGCGTATGATGCACCATGAATGTAATATTTAACTTTCAAATCCGACTTGTTCATACGATTGATGAGTGTGGCAGTATAAATTTCATTCATTAAGTCATGCATACCCCCCCTTCACAAAAAAATTCGTTTGATTCCTCGACAATATTTCCTCCATAGTGAAAAACAATGGGGAGTTTAGAACGTTCATATTCCACCAAAAATTCATTCTAAAAACCATGACTTCGATATAAACTAGAACTACCAAATATCCATTCCAAATGATTCTATTTCGTACTTATTTTTCTCTCCTATACGCGACCTTCAATAATAGAGAATATAATTTTTCTGTCTTTACTTCACACATATTACAAACTTAACCATGCCGATGCTATAATATGGAGTACCAAATTAAAATTGTTTGTATTTTTTTGAAATATCCTTGTAAACATATTATAGTATATGCTCAAATAATACCAACATCCTTAATCGAAATGAGACTCTAACTTGCAACTTCCTCTTTAGGAGATCATCCATGATTGGGATGAGACTAGAACTCGAGAACTCCTCTTTGGAAGATCAAAGGTGATTTCATTCGTACCTCATATTCTTGCCAAATTAACAATTGTTTTTTATGTTTTGGCCCGAATTTTACTAAAAACGGACAAAAGACAAAAATGTTACATCTTTTTCAAAATTCCAAAAATGTGACCTGACATCACAATTAACAATTGCTCTACAAAGTGACACCGATCAAAGTGACTTCGCCGCCACAGTGATCCGCCGCCATAGTGACTTGCCGCCACAGTGATTTGCCGCCACAGTGTCCAGCCGCCACAGTGACCCGTCACCACAGTGACTACCTGTCCACCGGCCATAATGACTCCGGTCACTATAACTGCCCACCCATCGACCACAGTGACTACCCCCAATCGCCGCCACCCCCTTCACCCGCCCACCACCACCGCTCCTGACCCATACATAACCGCCGTCCGTGTCACATCCACTACCACCACTCCTTCCACATCCACCACTGCCACCCCTGTCCTGGCCACCGATAAAAAATAATTCTGCCCACCCACACATGGCCAGTGACAACCGCTGTCCGATCGGTGACCATTGTCTTCCCTCCCCCACCATGGTCCTTGTACAACCTATGTCACTGCAATACCACCAACACTTTCTCTGTGAACCATTACCCCACCACCGTTCAATCGTGGCCAACCAAGCTCAACCATGGACGCCATCAGAACCGTAGCAGCTGAAATCGATCAATCGCGGAATGCAATCAAACCCCCAGCCATTGTAGGAGCGATCAAGATGTTGTGTCGAGGCCCTGCCTCAAATCACCGCCTTCACCATTGTAATACATTGCGTAGATCTGAGGAGTCACCGTTGGGATCATGCAGACGAGAAGAAATGAGAAGAAAAAGAGAGGCGGCGGCGCGGAGAAGCATGAGCAACGACAGTGGCGACGGGACCGGCGACGACTAAAGAGATGGCAAAGAAAGAGATGCTGACAGACTTCCAACCATCTTCGAGCAACTCACAGGTTTCTTGGAGAAGGAGGCAATGAAGATGGACATAGACGAAAAAAGCCAGGTATAGAGTTTGACGGGAGAAGCTATGCGGACAGAAGGTGTGCCTGGGTCACATTTTTGGAAAATTCAAAAAGGGTTTGTTGGGTTAATGGTCCAATAAGGGCCGACCCATCAACCCTTAAAGATCACCTACGAACGTCTTACTAAAGGCCCAAGAAGAAGGCCAAGCACCAAGGGATAGGGGGCGCACGTACCCCACTACCAGTCAGTACCAAGCCCAATGGCCAGGATACGTACGTACTCCATCACCAGCGAGTACCAAGGCCCAAGGGCCATGAGACGTACGTGTTCCACCGTCAGCAGGCATCCAGGCCCAGGGTCCCTATGAGGTACACGGGGACAAACGTCCCCACCCCTCGATAGGATACCAAGGGCGGCTCAAGAGTAGATCAAGGATAGCTCAAGTGCATGGGGACGGACGTCCCCTCTCCCATTGACAGGAGATCGGGATTCCAGTAGGGGATATCAGCCATGCCCTTGGGGACGAACGTCCCCACCCAAGGGCGGGAAACCAAGATTCTGGCGGGAAGCGCATTTAATGTAGAAGATTTGGTGGTTGGGGATCATGCCGTCCAAAGCCTGCCACGCCAATATGTCCAACCACCCATTGACAGTATAAATAGTAACATTTATTTCACTGTAAGGGGTTCGCAATTTAGCACTCTAGCACTCTAGCAATAGTATCAACGCATAGCATAGCACTGTACGTTCGGCACTTCGGCTTGTAATAGTTCAGTGAGTAAACTTTCTCTTGTTTGGGTCATTTTCCCTGCTTATTCTCCATCTACTTGTTCACCCTCCACTCAAAACCCCCATGTTACGTGTTGGGCCCGCGGGTTGAAAGAATAAACTTCAATAGGGTTATATTTTCGAAACCCCCATTATTTCTAGTTTTTCTTAGATAAATTCCATATTTTTACAAATAATTACGGAGTTTTGGTATTTTCCCAGCTCCTACAGTGGGTTTAGTGACTCAGTCCCAAGGAACTGACAGATCAAAGAAGTGGCGGGAATCTGATCAACCCTTTCCCCCACTTCTTTCCATTTCATCCAGTCGATTCCTCAAAGCTCAAGCTAACTATGAAGGCCGCCAATGCTCGGAAGCGACCACCGTCGGCGGTGACGCCATCACCACAGCAGCAGCAGAAGAAGCAACACGCTGCTGTGGAGGAGGACGTAGACGAAGACATCTTCCTTGAAGAAACATTGCTTCAGTACGACGAGGACACCCAGGTCCTTCGCGAACTCGAGGAGAAGCACGCCCTCGCTGAGCGTCTCTGCAAATGGAAGAGGCCACAGCTTTCCCAAGCTTACCTCTCGCAGTCTCAAAGCATAAGTGAGTGAATGTGCACGAAATTTATAACTTCATTGCTTGGTTGTATTTCATCAATTAGCTTTCAACCAGTCGAACTTTGTGCCGCGTTTTCACAATCCATTATTTTCTTGTTCGGAATTATTACATTGAGTGTTGATGTCTAGGGTTATGAAAGGTCAATTTGTTAATTACAGTTTCTAGTCAACACAAGATTATGCAAATATAAATACAGTTTTATGTTATCCAATTGGTTGTGTTTCTGAAACTTGTGCAATTTATCTCTTTCATAGTATTTCAGCAACTGGAAATAGACTATGTGATCGGAGAGAGCCATAAAGAATTGCTGCCCAAATCTTCTGGTCCCGCTGCCATTATAAGAATATTTGGAGTCACCAGGGAAGGTTGTTTAAACTCCATGTCTTTCTCACGTGCACACTATTCTGGATCAATTTATTACTCACTAGTGATTTCTTACAAATATTGAAGATTTGTGTTGTTCTCTAAAAAATCTAGAAACTTGAATCTGAGATATCCATGCAGGGCCGGCCCAGACATATAGAAGGCCCTGTGCAAAATTGAAAATGAGGCCCTAAGATTTTTTTATCATTATATAATCATTATTATATTATTACTTTCACCGTTTTTAAATAATAGTGTCCTTAGGTTTTTTGTGGGTTTTAAGATGAAAATAGTAGGCCCTAAAGGTAAATAAAAAGTAGAAAAGAGAATAAATTAAGAAAAGTAAAGTAATGACAAAGTATGAAAAAGAAAGTAGTTACAAGCTCGTTCCAAACTGTACGAAGGTTTTGTGCTAAATAATGTAATTAGGCCTTGTGAAATAAAGAAATCACACAATTGTAATTAACAATTGTACTTTAATTACATAAAAATATTACTATTTAATGTTTGTATTTAAAAAAATAATAATATAGGAATTTTTAATCAAATAAATAAAGATTTATTATATTATATAGACTATATTTAAATTTTTGGGCCTTCTGAAATTGAGAGGCCTTGTGCGATTGCACTTCTTGCACGCCCTCATCTACGGCCCTGTATCCATGTGGGTTTGTTTGTAAACACATTCCTAAAATGAGCTGGAATAGTACCAAATATTTTCAGCTTCTAGTGCACGACTCTCTTTGTTGTACCTTTTTAGGAATATTTCTTTGACTGTGTTTGTCAGGGAACAGTGTTTGCTGTCATGTACATGGATTTGAACCATATTTCTATATCAGTTGCCCTGCAGGAATGGGCCCCGATGACATATCTCGTTTTCACCAAATTCTTGAGGTATGTCACATGTGAGATATAAATGTGTGTGTAAATTCACTTGTGATTTTCTTGGCTATAGTATCTTTTCCTATAACTTGGTTTGTGATTCACTTGACTATTTGGTCATATCTTTTTTTTGTATATATGCAGGATAGAATGAAAGAGGCAAATAGAAGCAATAGGGTCCCTAAATTTGTCCATCGCATTGAAATGGTGCACAGGAAAAGTATAATGTATTACCAACAACAGAGCTCTCAACCCTTTCTTAAAATTGTAGTGGCGTTGCCAACAATGGTTACAACATGTCGTGGTATGCATTATTTCTTAGTATCTCCTGTTCATCCGTGTACCTTGATGTACACAAATGCATAAATCACACTTATCATTTCTGGAACTCTTACGCCCCCTCCCCCCGGCAAATGGATCACACCATAACTTTTACCCTCAAACTTAATGTATATCCACTTAGTTCATTCTGAGTGACCCTATTTGATGCACTAGTACATTTTTTTCTTCTCGTTCTTCCACTATCTTGTATGCGTAATAAGACACAACTCAAAAATAACGAGAGTGGGCTTTGGCTTTTTGCTAGGAGTTTAAATGATCGTGATGGTGATAAAATTCTGAGTGATCATGTGCCTCTCCACCATAAGTGAACTTGGCGAGTTATTGCAATCATTGCCTTAAACTTTAAGGCCACACTTATGGAATGCAATGCACAAAGGAATATGAATTTGATTCCACAAGGGATTAAATAACATTACTATGTCAGCATTACAGGATAAAAGGGAACATAATGGGAAAAGTATTTCATAATTTGGTGGATCTTAAGATTAGAAAATTGAACATTAGTGTGCCTAGAAGAGTCATTACACGCACATATAAGTATATGCACACACACAACATTATCTCTGCCCAAAAAGTTCTCATTCTCCTTCTCCAGCGGTCCCAAAAGGTTCTTTCCATATCTTTTAAGTTGAGATGTATGTGATTGACATTGTTTCTTTCCTTCCTAAATAATCTCATCCAAACTTCCATTTTCTCAATCTGAATGCTAAAAGCAAGTGATATTTTTAGTCTTACCATATAAAAAATGAAACTAAATTTTGTCCTTGCATCTAAACAAGTTATGTTTGGAATTTATTATTTTTTAAAATATACAGTGATGTTTATATAGGAGACTGAAACTTTAATTAAAAACATGGTGACATTTTTGTAAATAAGGTAATGTGCTTTATAGAAGGATATTATAGGTGTATTTGCGTATGTGCTTAAGTGCACCACTGCTATATAAGTGTTTTTAAAGGGGCTGTTCTTTGTTAGATAATGATGCATTTGCTATTTTGCTATCATGATATACTGCACATTTAAGTTTATAATTACCATAATGGCACATTTTTTTTTTGATTATAATCAATCCAATGATATACTGCGCATTTGAGTTTATAATTACCATTATGCAACAATTTTTTTGATTATAATCAATTCAATCCGCCCATTTTTAGGATAGAGGGCTGGATTTTTTTTGACTTGATATTCTTTTCATTTGTTGCCCAAGGAAATTTCTCACTCACCCTCTCACACACAATACAGTAATACACATACAATAATATCTTCAGTTCTCACATGAATGTTGCTTTCCTCGACCTTTATTTTTGAAGGTAGATAGTTGTGGTTTTTGAAATAATAAATACAACTAGTTGAAGTGAATTGGTCACCCAAGTCCTATGCGGAAATGGGTCACATTCTGATTACTAAAAGTTCAAAATGTGCTCTTTGTATTTCTGGATGGTGGGTGGGTGAAATAGTGAGCTCTTTGTTGGCTGAGTGGCTGTTTGATATGGATGGACCTTATATTTCTAAGCTAAAAGCCTAAAATACATATTACAGTCAAATTGGCATGAACTAGCTACTATATTTGCTGAATAAGTGGGTTTATTATCATCTACTTTGTTTTTGAAGGTAGTTACAAAGTCATATCCTGACTCTAAGGAAACAATATGTGGGTTGTGAAAACCAGAGGGCACATTTTATACTTCAGATGTAATTTTTTTTCCGGTACATACCAAATACCAAACCAAAATTTTGGTTCGGTAATCGGTACGTATAATTTTGAAAATCCGGTATTCGGTTCGGTATATATATAAATATTTTGGTTTTCGGTATGTACCGAAATACACAAAATAAAAAATATTAAAATATAATATATTTATATAGTTTGGCCCGAAATATATAAATATTTATATATTTATATATATTTTGGTATGTATTATATATTTATACTATATAATATACGTAGTATTTATATATTATATATAATATATTTAAATATTTATTTATAAACAGTTAAATAAATTGTTGAATGCATATTTGGTATTTCGGGTTTACCGATTACCGAGCCAATTTTTTTCCGGTTTTTACCGAACCAAACTGATTTAGTTCGGTTCGGTAATCGGTATGTGAATATGCA